TTTCATTCAACTGCTAATGTATTTGTCCCCAGGCAGAGTGTGTTTTAGTCTCCTGAAGTTTTGTAAGCAGCTCTGAACGTGTCTAGACAATTTGTTTTTGCAGAGCAGGATAGGGAGCCAGGTCTTGTGTGAAAACATGGATGGTGTTAGTTGACAGCTGTGCCAGTGCACAGAAGCCCTTTGGAGAGGCAGCACGTGTTCTCCTGGGTACAGTTGCATGGAAACCTTTCCAACGTGGCTTGGAGCAGACCTGCCTCACGCCTTGCCTCCTTGGAAGGGCTGAAGCTAACATGAAGCTGTCTGCACCTCTTTATTTAGTCCTGCTACAATGAAGTGATCCCTTGGAAATTCTCTCTTGGCTTTGCAGAGTTTACTTTGCAGTAGATAGCTGCAGTTTTGTTTTCAGCTGAGTAACTTTTTTTGATAGAACGTGTAGGTTATTCAAATATACTTGATAATACTTTCCTGGCTGTGTCCTACGTTGTTCTTGTCATGTTTTATTGTTAATATTATGAAATATGTTGTATTTTACTTTATAGCATCTTTAGAAGCCATTTCTGTAGGGAAGGCAGTCATACCTCAATCATGGTATGTTGCCATTTAAAAGCACATCTGCCATCATAATTTAGTCAGTATGTGTGACATGGCAATAACTGCAACAAATCTTGTAGCAAATAGATGTGAGCAAATGCACTGAAAGGCTGAAGTTGGAACTTTTGCTGGGTTTCCCTTTGAAAGAGTAAACATGAAGGAAATAACACTGTTTGAGAAATAGATGCTCAAGGGTGAGAGTAATACCTGGCCAGGAGATGTTACTAATTGTTCTTAAAATAAACTTGTCAGTTAGAGGGTCTATTTTAAGTTGATGAAACTGAAAATCATAAACTTGAGCCTTCACCCAGAACAAAATATAAACATTGTGAGAGTGGTTCCTGCTGCTGTTAGTGAGTGTGGTTAATTTTACTTTTTCAGTGGCATTCTTGAAAGTATGCAGTTGCTTGTTTGTCCTGCAGTTGCAAGTGTGTCTTGCAGCATCAATGTTTTAACTTATTTTTCTTTTTTTTCCCCTTTTTTCCTTTTTTTTTTTTTTTCTTTTTTCTTTTTAACAGCACATGTGTGTGTGCTGTCATAGTACTTCTGGCATCAAAACTCTAGTTTCAAGTCTAGGTGTGGTGTTTTTTTAATTCTGTACTTGTTTTTGGAGTAACTGCTTTGACCAATGATTATTTTTGTTTCATACAGAGTTTTTAGGCAACTTATCTTCTGCTTTCTTGGTTTCAACTTTGTAGTCTTAAAAGGACTTCTTCCTGAGTGATTATGTTGGCTAAGATAATACTTAGATGTGTTTTCCTTAGAGCTTATTCTTTTAACCTCTCTATTTAGAGTTATTTTTCTAACCTTTCCTTTGTATACTTAATGACCAGAGCAACAAAAGAGAGATTAGCTGCCATGACAAAGAATAGAAAAATCCTCTTTTTAACTAGAGTTGTTCTGTTTTTGTCTTTCTTCAATTTAGCTCCCAGTTCTTTTTCTTAAAGAAGCACTTCCATATTAGGACACTTTTGAAACAAAGATACCAAAGAAAGATGCTCGATGTTGTTGTGTACCTCTTCCTAAGTGAATGCACTTACTCTTTGGAAAACGGTGACCTCTTTCCAGATCCGTGCACTGTGACTTTAGTGTTGTGGCCTTGTGGTGTCAGAGGACCTCTTTGAGGAAGTCATCGTGCTTTTTATTCAAGGATCTGGGAGCAGTACGGGTAGGACAGAACAGAAGAGGAGCTGTTCATTTGGAAGAAGTTCTCACTCAGAACTCAGTAGTACATCTCGGAGATGTGCTGTCTGTGCCTCTGAGCAGTAACCGTGCTGGTCACTGCCTGCAGGCTGCTCTCCAGGGTGTGTTGACGCTGCCTTGTAGCAGAGGGCGGTGGTTGGATCCTCCCGCGCCTGTCCCGGTGCGCTGTGCCCGTCCCGCTCCGGGCAGTCCCGGGCAGCGGAGCCGCTCCCGAGCGCCTGCGGGCGGCGCCCTCTGCGGGCGGCGCGGCGGAACTGCAGGCGGAGGGAGCCGCGCTCGTCCCTGGGCCTGGTCCGGTGGGATGGGCAGAGCTGTCACACCCTGGAGCTTTTTGTTTCCACTTGGCCTCTTCCTTCTCTTCTTTACTTCTAACAATTGAGCAGTACTGTTAACAGCTGTTCAGATTTTTCTTGACAGCACCTGTAACGGAACAAAAGTTCTCATCCTTCGATATTTTACAACTTTTACTGACAACTATCAGTAAGTAAAGGTAGTAAGTTTGTACAAACAAAAGTGATCTGAGTTTTAGCTGAGAAGACTCAAAATTGGGCCAAGCCTGGATATACAATATATTCTGTCCCTCTTCAGCGACTTGATCACCTTACAACACTTGTTTTGAAAAAAAATGTCCATGCCTGACATTTGGAGTCCCCAAGGACAGTGCATCATCAGTCACTAGAAAGCTGAAGAGTGAGCACTAGCATTTACCTCAATCCCCATGTGAAAAGAGATAATCTTTACAGAAAGGGACATATAATACATGTTTTTGCTGTATTTTTAGTATGTTATTTGCAAGTTCCTGAAAGATATTCTGGGGATGTCAGTTGACAGCAGATACTTGCAGTCTGGAGGGAAAAGGTAAGGTGGGAAAGCATCAGTTCTTTCCTGCTGTTCCATCTGTAAGACTGTACTATAATCTGGAAAGCTTTAGGGACATTAGTGGATAAGAAAATTATTTTGTTTTCTTTTTGTTTAGTTCCTGCTCTTCAGTTTAGCCTTTAATAAACATGGAGTGGGAATGAACAAGACAATCCCTCTTTCATTGCATGTTGCATGACAGTTGTAGAATTTGGCAGCTTCATGGTAGAATTGCCAATGTGGGAAGTATTCAGAGTTCCCACTTGGATGATGGAATATGCAACAGATATTTTTACATTTCCATACAGTTACAGCATACAGTCCTGTGCTTATTAAACCTTTTTACTGTTGCTGATCCATGGTTTTTCAGAAGATCTGTAATTGCCTTTGCCCCAACAGGGTGCTATTTTCAGTTCTCACATATTTCATAAGTTTCTCATGTATTTCTCATGTATATGCTTGTGTGTGCATATATATATTTATATATCTCAATTTATGCCATTCTTATACACATGGGGAAAAGGAGTTAAAAATGCTTATGCAGCTTGTATGGGCCAAATGGAACTATTCTAGGAATCAAAAGGCTTTACAAAATTAATATCTGACAATCAGAAAAAGTTTTGAAGTAAAAGATAAAAGTGAGAGGATTTACATCCAATCAGTGTTTTGCTACTATGGCTCTGTGGTTTGTTTAAGGAGGGCAAACTAGTATGTTGTCCCAAATCCATCAGTTAGGGGAGAAATGTGAATCCATTCATAGTTTGAGATTCCCTCACATTCTAGTAAAAATAGTTTAGTTAGGGAGAATTTGCATATTTAGTTAGGGGGAATTGTGTATTTCTTGAGTATTTCTGCTATTGTATGCTCTTCCTTTTTGTTAAGAGCTAATATTATTATTTAATGTTGGCTACTTTTCAGTGTCTCCTGCAGTTTCTGAATGGTATACTCTGTAGATTTGTTGGAAATGGAGCTTTTGTTATAAATGGAGCCTTTGTGGGATACTCTGCACTTGAATTATTACCTGGACTGAACTTTAAGAATGGAGTTCTTTTGCAGTGCATCACTAGAGTGGCTTTCTTCCTCACCTCTCTTGAAGTGGTGATGACATATGATCAGCTGTATAAAAGGCTGTTTTTTGACTTAGCTGTCATGACTATCTGTCGCTGGTTTTGTTGGAGCAGCTTTATCCTTCATGAACTGAGGAAAGAAAGCCACCACTGTGGAAGGTTACTTGGTTTTCTGGTACTGCTAGTGCCAGATACTTGTTTTCTGATACTAATCCTAAGGTCTTCACCCACAGAGACTGTTCATACAATGCTTTCAGGGACTGATACTTATGAAAGGTTTCCACTATTAATGGGAGATCATTTGCCAACCAATATTCCAATTATTCTTTGGTCATTTGCCAGCCAGTATTCTAACAGGCCTCTATGAAGTAAAAAAATTGAACACTGCCATCATAAAATTGTATCATAGAACAATGGAATGGTTTGGGTTGGAAGATGCCTTAAAGATCATTTGATTCCAACCTCCCTGTTGTAGGCAGGGACATCTTGCACTAGATCAGATTGCTCAGAGCCTGATCCAACCTGGCCTTGAATGCTGCCAGGGATAGGGCATTTACAGCTTCTCTGCACACCATGTGCCAGTGCCTCACCACCCACTCTGTATGTCATGATTGCATGATACTCCTTTTTATAAAGTTTGCTAAAAGGCTTCCTATTAATTACTGAGAATGAAGCAGCTTTATGTAATGCTTCTGTGCTTGGAGTGTAACCACTGAGGAATGATTAGCAAGCAGAAAATTGGCCCTCAGATGACTTCTGTTTTTTAATTCGATGAATAGAAGTCAAATTTTTGTTGTCTAATCAAAAGACTTTAATACTACTTGGTAAACAGCTTGCTCTCATCCCTCAGGCAGTTGCATTTAACTGGTATGGCAGGATTCAGGCATTACTTATCCAAAAATGACTGGCACACTTTCAAATCTTACATGGCCTTGTTTTCAAGGAGGGGAAGTTGGTTAAGTGTCATCAGAATAGAGAAGTGTACAGTGTGACTGTGTGGTGTGTTCCTGTAATCACTGTAAATCTGAGGCATACTAATGATTTTCAACTCAGTACAGTGGCAACTGCATTGTCAGTTTTCCTAGGATTTAATAATCGTGAAAGACAAATCTTGTAAGAGTGTTTACCTTGCCTTCTGAGTCTGTGATGTAGAAAACTCAGATCAGTTCTCTGCTGCTTGCATGGGGAAGAGATGGGAAAGACTCTACCTCATTTCTGTGTAGTTTCTCTTCAGAAATTGTCATTTAGGCATTTAAGATGATGTTTTTCCTTTTTCTTCAGTTTCTAAGGGAAGATATGCAATACAAGGATGCCTCAAATAAACATAGTCACCTGCACAGAGAAGACAAGCATATCACCATTGAGGATCTGTGGAAACGCTGGAAAACATCTGAAGGTAGGTGAAGAAGTGTAGCTGAAGATGACACAGTTATAATTCAACAATTTTCCCGCCAGGTATAGAGTAGTGAATGAATGGCCTCTTGAAGCATCTTCATCAATCTGTTTTGACACTGTTATTTATAGGCACACATAAATCTGACTAAGAACTCGTTTAATCCAGCCAGAGGTAATTTCCTCTTCATGTGCTTTGTGTATTGTAAATTAAGTAAACTAAGGTAGCTTACATGAGGTTCTGATTTGTCAAGGTGATGGTGCAAGTGCTGAATTCCAGATTAGCATGTTTTTAATTTAATAAACCCTAGGGGCTTCTCCCAAGCTATTTAAATTTTTTAAATATAGTACTAAGTGGAAAATTCAATGCACTTTTGCTTTGATTTCAATTTTATTTGAGCTGCAAAGATCTACAATTCTTAGTCCAAAGAATTTTTGAAAAATCTTCTTTAACATGTGATACAGTAAAATGCATTGACAGCCCGACACCACCAGCCATCCCTCACTTTGATTAAATGAAATAAGTAAGTTGGGCCAACTATTCCAAGTATCAAAGGACAGTATTTAATCAGTACAGTGTTCATTGCCAGATATGTCCCAGGATATAGTGATTAAAAAAGAGATCTGAAATGTTAGAATTGTTAGGAGAAAATCCCTGACTTCCTCAGCCCCTTCCCCACCCCAGCCCTCATTCCAAAGGTGTTGTGCTGTTCTGGCTGTGGCAAGGCTAGGATTAATTTTCAGCAGCATTCAGGAGGGGGCATGGCTGCAGCCAGGGTGTTATCCTACACCTGCACTCCCCACGTCATTGCTGGGAGCCTGGAACAGGAGTGTCTCTCTCTGCTGGGGAGAAGAGATTCATTCTGGTGCAGAAACATGGGGAATGGACCCATCTGGTATTTGTTTATTGTCAGGGGTTTCCATGTGAGTAGTTTACTTTTCTTATACCTTTTGTTACTGTATTGTTGCTCTTATTGTCCGTTTTCTTATCTCATTGCTGTTTCCAGTAAATTGTTCCTATCTCAACTTGTGATCTTTACCCTTTGTCCCTCCAATTGGAGGGGGAGGGGAAACTGCACGTTTGTAAAAGGACTGCTAAATTTGAGAATACCTAAACCACAACATGTTCTAATGGTGAGCATAGAGAGATCTAAAACTTAGTATGGGTCAAACAACTGAAGGTAAGAACAGGAGGGGAATGAATCCAGGAATATGGCATTGGTTCATTCTGCTAATGCAGGAAGTCACTTAAGTGCACTCTGAGGTGATGCATGAAGTGTTTGGAATGTAGTAAATATGTGTTTTAACCAGTAACTTTTGGCCTTCTCTCTTCAAATATTGCTTAAATACTTATTCACTGAAGATCCTGTTCCCTGAAAGTATTGCAATTAAATTATCAGAAGAAATTAGCTCCTCAAAACTGTAGGTCTAAGTCATGAGTAGCTGTTCAAAAATTTAGGCTATAGTGATTCTAGAAATATAGTTTGTCTGTTGTGTATACCTTTATTCCAGTTTTCTTGAATGTAGTAAGACTCAAAAGACTTGGAGAGGAATGTCTCATCTCATTGTGTCTGCTTATAGTGGCTTTATTTGTGTATCCTGCTGAGAGAACTAAAATTGCACCAGAGGGAGACCTTTAGAATGAGACTCCTGAGCAGTGTTAACAGTGGTCTGCTGACTGTTAGAAAGCATGAAGCCCCTCAGAAAATGAACTACTTTAATTCGATTTTAGGTAACATGGAAAATGTTGCCATTCCTTTATATGTTTTAGGAATTTTTGATTAATTTTTTATGTGCCACCAGTTTATAGCAATTCAACAGCATTAAACAAGAGGGGAAGGTAGTGCAAATGATAGTATCAGTAATTTGAGACTTTTAAGCAATCTGCTGAGGTATCTGTGTGAGAATTGCCAACTCTATTGCTCCTGATAGTATATACAGAAACATCTTCAGGATCTACTGCTGTGTAGTTTAGGCTGAGTAGAATTTGCCTATTCTTTGCCATAAAGCTTGCTTTATGTGGATGTTTGTCTTAAATATTTGTCAAATAACTCAAAGGTGTTCTTTGTTTAACATATTGGTGGTGCAAGACAGATAAGATGTGAGGGAAGAAAGCAAAAAATGCCATTGGTGTTTGATGTCTCCTTTTAAGATTAAGGAAAGTAGAGGTTGCTTTTAAATAATTGATTGAAAAGGATTTTATACACTGAATGTAACACTGAGGATTGGCTGCATTCAAAGCTCTAAAAATTGCCTAATAAAAGAAGGGGCTTCAGAGTACTGCTTTTTAGTATTTCTGGCACTGGGCAGGTTTTTGATGTCCCTGCCTGGTGCAGAATCCTTAAGGCATAGTCTAGGCTGGTGCAATTTAAAGGAAGTTCAAGGCTGTTACAGGTTTTACCTGCATGGCAGGAGTCATATCATGGCTTGAATCATAGCATCTAGCCTATTGTTGCTGTGTTGCCACTCAGTTTAAAGGACTCCTTTGGTACAAAACAAGACTATAATTTAATTTAGTTTAGTTAGAATGTGCTTTTTATGACCTTTGAATTTTTTAAAATCTAATTCTACAGACTGCTCTGTTTAGAGGAGTGACTATGAACTATCATAGCTGTTTAAAATGTAGAAAACACTTCTCTCTGAGAGTCTTCTGACTTCTGTTACTGTGTTACTGTTCTTCAATGTAAATGCCAGTATATATGCTTGTTGTATGGTATTCTTTGACTGTCTCCTCTTCTAAATATTATTATAATATGTATTGTACATGCACTACAGAGTCTTTCAGCTATTCACTAGTAACAAACTTAATAGCTACTGTTAGGTTAATATTAAAGGTGTAGTGTCTTTTCTGCAAAGGCCTTGAAGAGGTGGTAGTTTTGAGTGTGGAAAAGGGGACAGATGAACATTTGGTTTGATGTCTGAATAGCAGTCTTTGCACAATTATCTCTGGAGTTTTCTCACTCAGTGGTACCTGCCATCTCTCTTTGCCCCTGTAATGGGCTGTGGTTGTGTGAATTTGCTGTCTGAAGAGCAGGGTGTAGGTATTTAGTCTCAGTAGCAAGAGGGCTGTAAAATCAGTCCAGAGCCTTCAGCTGGGTGGTTCTCTGACCTGTCTCAGAGAGTAGGGCTGGATGCTGCATCCTTAGTGATGCAGCATTGTCCCTTGGGACTTGGTTTTGTAGCCAAGTAAAAACTGTTCAAGTCAAACCTGGAGTTCATGAATGCTTGGCTATTGTCAGACTAATTTGAATCCTTTCAAAACCTAGTTGTTACAAACAGCCTAAAAAAAAAGTTTTTTTTAAACCATTATGGCATATTTGAGCTTTAATGTATAGTATCTCCTATAGACTGCCCTATAATACAAAAAAACCTTCTTGCCTTCTATGTGTACTTTTTTTCCCCTTTAATTCTCTTTCCCTCTTTGTGGAAAACAGGAGGTGAACTAAAGTCTGGTACATTATTTATTAGGGTGAAAAGCTACAAAAATGGCTCTATATTTGCATGTGTGATCACCTGTTGTGTTCTGATGTTCTACTACACAAGTGTTCTTGCAGCAACTGGGACTAAACTGCATACCACAAACATGTTGTGGTTGCCTTGCTCTCTAATAATTTGCTGTCTCAGGTTTTAAATATCTAGAGGTTGGAAACGAGTGCAAGCAGGGCTTGGCTAAGGATGAGTTACCTAATGCTGCATACTGCTGAATGAAGGTCCTAGAAACTGAGTTTTGAATCCTTTTGTGGGATATAAATTTAACATGATGGTAAATGTTACACAAAAAACTGGTAAATAGCCTGATCTTCTAATTTCTGTGGGTTAACAATGAGAAACTTTCATACAGGCCCAGTTAAAGCTACTTTTGCTGTCTTCACCTTCAGGTATGTTGGTAGAAGAGTTGAAAAGAAGTAGAAAACCCCCCCCAAAACTCAAACTTGTGTCTGAACAAAATAGCTGATGGAGGGTTAGAGACTGAGTACTGCTCTGGGGTGCCTTCCAAACCTGCCTGCCCAAAGCATGTTGCTGACATCTTCTCTCTGAAAGTATCTCTTTGTAAAAAGAGTTGTGAGAGAGAAGGATGTTATAATTACTCTGTAATGCTATATGCATTTAACTTACAGTAATTGTAGATTGCTACTCTGCTGTCTGAAGTACTGCTTTCTTTTTTGGTGATTAAACTAAGGAAAAATTACAACCTCAGCTAATTAGTGTGAGTTGGCACATTCTAATTAGCAGTGCTGATCAAGATGAGTTTCAGCTGTCTTGCTTGCCCTTCAGTACACCTGGTGCTGGTGTGTATCACACTTGCCTTGTGTCATGTTTCAGTGCTTCTTCAGTGTGGAGAGGGGCCAGTTTGCTTTTCAGTACTTTATGCTGTTGTAGAACAAACATGTCTCTATGTCATGAAGTCTTATTGGAGACAAGTCAAGTAATACTCCTTACCAACACAGGGGTGTATGGAAGTTAACAACAAAAAGAAGCAGTCTGAATGTTTAGGAAAGTAAGAACAGTGTAGTTTGGAGTCTGAGTCCACCTGCAAAATTTAGGGATCTGGGGGCACTGGCACTAGACTTCTGTGAATGAAGAATTAATTTACATAATAAATCTAAATTTCTTGCAAAATACATATGTGAAAAGAGATTCAGATCTTAACATCCCAGAATAAGAGATGACAATATATATTCATAGCTTAAATGGTTGAGTGGTCAGTTAAAGGGACACAACATAAATAAAGAAGTAATTGATATTATTTTTAATAAATGAGTAACAGTATAAGAGTACAGAAAGTAAAAGCTTCAGTTGTATTTTAGGATAGACTGTGGTTGCTTCTTTTCGCAGGTTCTGTACTAATAGAGGTATCTGATACAGTGACAATAATGAATAATAAAGTGCTTTTTCCAGAGTATAACTGATTTGTTTGGGAAAATTTCATGGATAATCTATGAAGAAAACATCACACCAGTCTAAGCAGTGCAACAGGTGTGATTTGCTCTATGGCAAACTATTTAAATGTGTAGCTAAATTCTTTCAGGATAATATGTTTAGTATTATCACTGGATTATAGAAACCTATAAATCTATGTAAAATTTGGCAGTGTCTACAAAATTCTTTCATCAGTAGAAGTGAAAATCTCAATGGTATTTTTAACCCTTGCCCATGACTTATAAACCCAGTGAATTGTGTGGCTTCTGCAATGGAGTGTTCTGTACTCTCAGTGATAGTCTGTAGTGTGCAGTGGCTGTTTTAGGTATCTTTTGCTTCATGTCACAACAAAACAATGCTTTTACTTTGGGTCAGTCTGTGAACATATTTCTAGAATGCAGTTAAAGTGATATCTTTCTGGATGATTTTACCACTCTTTGAGACTTGTAATGACCAGTCAAATTACTTTGAATGATTTGTAAATGGCATTGCTTATCATTCACATAATAGTTAAGAGTTTTTGCAATGGGAAAACTACCTGTTTATAAATGGAGACCAGATATTTTGCATAAAATCTTAGAGTAATGTGGTAAATTGTAATATAACAAAACTGAGTCTGTGTCAAATCAATACCTGACTGTAGCTCAGAAGGAGAGAAGGAAATGGGACAGCCTGCTGGGAAGGTTGTGTAGCCATTCATATGGATAGATAACAACAGGTTTGTACTGAGTTTGTTTCTTGAAGCTGTGAGTCTGTGAAATGTGTTCTGTCTCCACCTCTCAGGAATGATAATAATCCTAAAATGTTTAGGCTTATTTTGCAGCTGTGCTGCAAAAGAGACCTAGAAGTCCTTATTTCAGTTACAGTGTGAACTGAAATATGAATTTGAACTTATAAAAATTTCCATTGCCTGCAGCTTTACCTGTCAAGCTTTCAGCAGTGCTTTCCAAAGGATTATTGTCAAAAGTCACCACTGAGAATGTGTCCTATCATCTGTGCCTAGCACTGTCACGTGGAAGTAGTGCTAGATAGAGAAATGTTCAAAAAACCCTCAATTTTTCATTTGAATACATGTCTGTCCAGAAAGAGACCATCCCTGTTTCTTTCATATGCAGACAGACTTTTGCAGACTATAAATGGAGTGAACAATTTCCCTTCAATTTTGTCAGTGTGAGGCTGCAAACTGCAGCAGCTGCTCTGTAAGGGACAGAAATGTGATTTTTTTTTTTTTTTTTGATAGTATCTGTGGGTAGTATTTTCTTAGCACATCTGTAGCTATGAATGTTTATGTAGAGTATTGCTGTTATTAAGGAAAATTGTTAATTATTCTCTACATTTTAAATATTTTTTGTAAAGTATTTTTGCATGTTATTCCACTTTTCTTGGGCATGCTTGAGAGATATTTAATAGTTTTCCTGTTAAATTTCTTCTGTCTTTTGGTGTTTTCTTTCAGTCTCCTCTCTCCTTCTCTTGTCAGCTCCCATTTTGTGGTTAGAAGGCATAAGCCTCTAAGAAAATTCTTGTCAAAACAAGTTCTTAAGGCATCATCCTGGGGAAGATCTTGGTGCATTGCTTTAAATGGTTACAGCACCAGCTGATGTGTGTTTAGCTCTGCAAGGGTAGCAAGGACAAAGGGGCTGGAATCAGTTTAAGGAGTTGAAAGTCACAAGATGCTGTCCTGATTGAAACTAAAGGGAAAGAGTCAATTGTTCTGTGAAAGTTTTAGTCAAGAAATACTTCTATTGGTTCCATGCTTGTTTATTTAGAGTTTGCCTAAGCTTTCACAGGGGTACATGTAATGAAAAAGGCAAAATTCCAGAAACACCTTGGTAATGCTAATTTTTCTGGGATTATATTTGGTCAAACTCTCTTGGTTATTGTAATCTGCTTTTCTACTGCTTGTCTTCTAAGCTGTTGATTTTTACTAAAAAACCTAAGTCATTTAATTTTTCTTTCAGTTCATAACTGGACTCAAGAGGACACTCTTCAGTGGCTCTCAGATTTTGTTGAATTGCCCCAATATGAAAAGAATTTTAGAGACAGCAATGTCAATGGAACAACACTTCCCAGGTAAATATATCTTCTGGATTAGTTTCAAATAATTCCCCATAGGTTGCTACATTAGTTTAAATGGTAGGAGCAACTATGTGAACCTAAAATCTAACGAGGTACAGTCAAATGCAAGAAAAGAGAAGTGTCCTTGCAGTTTTGAAGAGGTGGCTGCACTTTTTTTTTTTCTGCCAGAATATATCAAAATACAACTTTCCTAAAAGTTTTATTTCTTTCTGTGGGCCTCATCAAAGGCCACATAATTCTATGTGGTAGCAAACTTCCTTTTGAACATCTTCTGATCTATTGTATGGGTATATACTACTATGTAACTGTAAAATACCTTTCCTGGAGCATAAATACCACACCTGAGTATTGCATGTATTTAGGAGTTGGTATCACAAGTCTATAAATATACCTTTAACTATGCTAAACGGATTTATTTAATGATTTTTTTTCCAGAGAGAAAAGAATAGTTAAATGATTTTATTTTCTTTTTTTTTGCCACATGCTGGTATGCATTTCTGTAGCATTACTGCTGTATTGTATTGTATTTCTCACTCTTAATTGCATAGCTGTAATCTGTATAACTGTGGGAAATGCTACTGAAGTCTTTTTTGCCTAGAGTGATTTTGAATATAGTTTATGGAATAGGTAACATTTTGTCTTGTTGTTAACAGGATAGCAGTGAATGAACATGCTTTCATGATCTCTCACTTGAAAATAATTGACCGGAGTCATAGACAGAAGCTTCAGCTTAAAGCCTTGGATGTTGTTTTATTTGGACCTCTCACTCGTTAGTAACTTTTTGGAGTTTTTTTCTTATCTCTTGATTGTAGGAATTCAACAGAGCATATTTTCCATGACACTTGATACTGTAGACAGGACAGCTTATCTAATTTGTGGATGTGCTGATGGATTGCTTGGCATGCGTTGTGGAACTCTGCAATGAATTAAAAAAAGTTATTTAGGTGCTGTGAGCAGAACAAAGGTTCACTTCTGTGTGTAAGATCGTGTAGAAATTTTAGTATAACCCCACTTGACAGATGGATGTTGGCTTTTGTGTCACAAGAAGTGTCCTCTAAATATTTTTCACTGTTTAAATTACATTTATAGCTAAGGTTACATTCACTTCTCAATTAGCTTGGACAGTACAGCTGGGATGCTGAAATGAGAGGGGATGACCTTCCCTAAGAAGAAAAAATGAGATAGTGATGCAAATCCAACACCTGTGTCTTGTGCATACTTGAGTTAAAGTGCAGTTAAATTTAATGCAGGAGTTCCACATCTGACCCATTTTACCATATGCAGCCATGTCCATACCACATCACCAGTGCTCTGCATGCTTGCTCTGGTTGCAGCTCTGCTCTGGTACTGTGCATGTCAGGTGCTCCTGAACTACCCAGGCCAGATCTGAGCTGGAATCACTTTGTGTTAGACCTTTAATGCTCACAGAAACTGTCCTTACAGAGGTGCAAGTGACTATGAAAGTTGTACTAACAAAGATGTATTATGTGAATCTTGAATTTGATAATTTGACAATCCAACTTGCTGCTGTTACCATTTTAAAATGTACTTGATTTTTCCCGAGTGCATTTTTAACTCAGCATAGGGTATTTAAGAGGGTGCAGACTGGAAAGAACTTGCTCAAATCTAATTACACCTCCTACTGGCCTGATGCAGTGCAATTGTGGAACTCTATTTTAACTCTAAATAAAGGTACTGAGTATGTACTGTAAAGGGGTTTAATAAGCTTTTCTCAGTCTAATGAATGTTTTAGTATAGATGAAGTAAATTGTATTAGAGCAGACCTGCTTATGTTGTATGAAAATGCTGTGGAGTACATTTGAAAGATAGTTGTTGGAGGTGGTTTGAAGTAAATGAGCTAGAATTCTGTTTAGCATTAGGTTCTGTCACCTTTTAGGCCGGGGAGGTGGGGGGGAAGGCCTTAATCTGTTGTCTGTATCAATGAACTAGTTAATGATGGTGTTGTTCTCTGCACAGGTCCCCCTCACAACTGGATGAAGGATTTTATATTAACAGTTTCTATAGTTATTGGTTTTGGAGGCTGCTGGTTTGCATATACACAGAACAGAACCTCAAGAGAACATATCACAAAAATGATGAAGGACTTAGAAAGTCTCCAAACAGCAGAGCAAAGTCTTCTTGACTTGCAGGAAAGGTATAAAACCTAAAAGAAAAAAAAAGTTGTCCTTTTGTTTTGAGGTTAAACACAAATGCAGATCCTTTACAGTCTTAAGTTTTTTGCATTACCTGCCTTTGGATTTTGTTCATCTTCCCTTTGCATGGAAATTGTGATTTCAGTGGTGCTGATTTCTTGGGTAGAGATTGCTCCTGGATATTTTAGCAGGCAATACAAACTTGTGGATGAAGGTAGAGAATAGAGGCTGAGTTTTTCCTACAGATTTACATGTATGTATTGTTGTTTTCATATAATTACAGTTTCTCTTGAATAGTTACATACATGGAAATGAGAACACTTTTTCTCTTTTTAAGCTTTTAAGATTGAAACAGACCTGAGCTGATTAGTTTCTATTGCATATATAGCAGTGTGAAAGCTGATAGTCTGTGGTGCACCTGTAATGCAGTTGTCTATAGAGACTTGTATTTTGATACTACACTTTTAATGATAGTTCACTTGGATATTTTGCCTGGCATGGATATCATGTTGTGTGATGTAATTGCTGCTGATTCATGAAGCTTGCAGAGTCTTTATTATCACAGAGTGGTTGAGGTTGGAAGAGACTTCTGGAGTTCATCTTGTCCAGCCCCTCCTGCTCAAGCAGGTCCATCTAGAACAGGTTGCCTAGGACCATGTGCAGGTGGCTTCTGAATATGTCCAAGGATGGAGACTCTACCACCTCTCTGGGCAACCTGTGCCAGTGTTCAGTCACTCTCATGGTGAAAGTGTTTCCTGATGTTCAGGTGGAACCTCATGTGCTTTGGTTTGTGCCCACTTCCCTGTTGCTGGATGCATTTTGTTATCCTGAGGACTACAACTTTTAACAAATATGCTGTGTATTTTCTCATATTTTTTGTTCAATTGTGAAGGCTTGAAAAGGCACAAGAAGAGAATAGAAACGTTGCTGTTGAAAAGCAAAATCTGGAGCGCAAAATGATGGATGAGATCAATGATGCAAAACGTGAAGCTCATCGCCTCAGGGAACTGAGAGAGGGAGCTGAATGTGAGCTCAGCAGGCTCAAATATGCAGAGGAAGAGTTAGTACAGGTACCTGCCAGCTGTTAATAAGTTTAGTGTTGACTTTAAATTGGTCCTAGTTTTATTAGATCCTCAGTAGTGTTTAAAACAGCATTCCCGAAATGCTGGACTTGAATGGAAAAATTCTAAGAGTGCTTAATGATTGTCTGTCAGTCATGCCATTATCTAGTAAAATAATCCTGAAAATATTAGAAGCTGTAAACTTTGTATATTAGCTTATCATAATATTTTGGGATTCACTGAAAAAATATATATACAAAAGCTTTTTTTATCTTGTTATTAGAAGCGAGATAGTAGCTTTGTTTCATCTGAGCAGCAATAAATTTGGATTTGTTGTACTAAAAAAATTATTGTCTTACAAAAATACTTAAACTTTGGATTAGGAACTATATAGCATTGGAAAAAATATGGAAGGTCATATGCTAGATTTCAGAGCTGCCAGATCTGCATACCTGACAACAGTTGGCACACACCAAAACTCTGTCAAGCTTTGCTATGTTGCTGTGGGCTATAAAGGTGCTTATAATTCACATGTTAGTTCTAATGATACTTTTGATGACACTTTCATTTCTTCTTGATTGCTAGGTTCGTATGGCTTTAAAAAAGGCTGAGAAGGAGTTTGAGTTGAGAAGTAATTGGTCTGTTCCTGAGGCTTTGCAGAAGTGGCTTCAGTTAACACACGAAGTTGAAGTACAATATTACAATATCAAAAGACAGCATGCAGAAATGCAATTAGCAATTGCTAAAGATGAGGTAATAAATTATTCTTCAGCTACTTGAAAATTTTTCTGATCTGTTGCTAGAGATACGAAATAGTAAACACAAAGTAGATAAGCATTTGTGCTTTTTCTCTGAATTGTTGTTTGCTACGTGTCAATATTGCTAATGTTTTTCATCTGTTAAGTATATTACTAGTTTAATGCATTTCACTTTACTTTGCTTTTTAGGCAGAAAAGATAAAAAAGAAGAGAAGCACTGTATTTGGAACATTACATGTTGCACACAGCTCCTCCCTGGATGAAGTGGACCATAAAATTCTTGAAGCAAAGTAAGAGGGTTACTGGGACAGGATGGATATTCTTTTGTGCTTGTTTGCTTCCGGAACAGAACTCCCAGAGAGTTATGGAATTGAGTGTCTTAGTGGTTTTGCACTTTACAAAAGCAATTTAAAAAATACTAAAATGTGAATATTTCAGCAGCTGTAATGGATCTTCTGGTATGCTGGAATGAATCTGTTGCTTTGCTTTATCAATAAGAACAGTGTATATAATTTTAATATGTGCCCTTCTTCAGGAAAGCACTCTCTGAGTTGACGACGTGTTTGCGGGAGCGTCTTTATCGATGGCAGCAGATTGAGAAGATTTGTGGGTTTCAAATCGCACACAATTCTGGGCTACCAAGCTTGACCTCCTCTCTCTACTCTGATCACAGCTGGGTAGTTATGCCTCGAGTTTCCATTCCTCCCTACCCAATTGCAGGGGGAGTTGATGACTTAGATGAAGACACTCCTCCAATAGTTTCACAGTTTCATGGTAAGTGATAAGCTCAGTAAAAAGAAAGGGGAAAAGCTGTGGGACGTGGGATTTTCAAATCAGGTGGGAGAAGAGTACTGAAATCAAACAGGATTAGATCAAAGTCAGAAAGACCAAAATTCTATGTAGCATTTCAGATACTAGCTCCAGTGGGACTTAAATGGCAAAGTGGGTTTTGCAGTGAAGATAACATGAAGAAAAAGCCTCTTATTTTGTTTCAGTGGGAGAGTGGGGCAAATTCAGCTAAGGTTTTGAAAGTGGTTGTCAACCTTGGAGTGCTACTTAAACAAAAGTTTGTAATGAATAATGCTGAGTTTGTTAGCTCAGATGGAAGGGATGAGGTTAGTCCAGGGTTCCTTGAGCTATGAGAAAGATCACATCCTTTGGGAGGCCGCATGCTACATAGCCTTGTGCACATTCTTTAGTGGTTGGAACAAAATCTTGTTGTTGTTCAAGGGAAGCTTTCAGACAGAATGTTTGTGTTTGGATACAGTGGGTTGGTTGTTTGAGTGTCCATCGGAGAGGCAGAGTACTGGAGGGAGAGAAGTCCAGCTTTGGTTAAACTATGATCAGAAGAAATACACTGGGGATTCAGACCACCCTTTGCATCATGAGTCATTGTGCAGAACAAGAGCCTGCTTCATGGAGCTTGTGATTAACTGGACTCCAGAGGCAAATCGAAAAGATGAGCTCCCATGCAGTTATTCAAACAAGCTGTTTTAGGCTGAGGAATGAGTAAGAAGGAAAACTGTCATGTGGGTACATTTTTCTTCCAGGGCTGGGATTCTCAGAAGAAATTCAAACTGTATTTTAAAATAGCGTAAGGTCGCCACTTTGCTGCCTTCACTTAGTGTGCCTTGGGCACTTGTTTTTCTTCTTAATGTACCAACCTTTTTTTCTGCAGACCACATTGAAAAGTTCGTTAATCCTCTTGCAATTTACTGCAAGTTCTGATCACTTTTAAGGAATGCTGTTTCTCTAGTTGTCTTCAGTGCAAATACTTTGATTTAAACCCTAGCAACAAATTTATTGGAGACCCAATGAAATATGGATTCCTAGAGTTAAGCTTCCAATTCTGTATCGAGAAGCCTGTGATCTGATTTCAAAATGAAGAGCTCCATTTATTGTCATGATTTTCCAGATGGTCTAAAATGGCAACACTTGGATATGTGTAAAAAACTTCTGACTTGTGAGATTTTTTAGTCACTCTTCTCATTTAACTCTTGCTTAGAAGTGAAGCCAGAGAAGAAAGTGCGGTTGATTCAAAGGAACTACAATTAGAAAAGGACTGTACTGTTTGTAAGAGCATACTTAGCTGAAACTTTACTGTATGAAGAAAATATGCTAAATGATCTGTTGTTGAAACTAGTGTTGAGGAGTCAAATTATTGTAGTTAGTTCAGTAAATACCGAATTATTCCCATCCTTTAGACAAAAATAACAAATGCACGCGAGGAAGGACAGAAGCATGATGGCTTGTCTTGGTCAGGAGGCTTCAGGCAAAATGCACTGTTGTAGGAGGTCCTTTAAGAATGGGGCTATTGCCATCACTGGATCTAAAGTGGACTGGGATGTTGCCTGGCTCCAGCATCCTTTGGACTCATAAGATTGACAAAATTTGAAGTCTGTTGGACTTCAGATTTTGTCAATCTTATGAGTCCAAAGGATGCTGGAGGCTTCTTTGTGTCCAGAGTCTTATGAGTCCAAAGGATGCTCTTAGGCTTCTTTGTGCCAGAGCAATTGTGTTGGTAGGCTTATATGGTGTCAAGTAATAGAGCTGTTTGATCGATCTCAAGTTGAAGAACAAAAACGGATTAAGAAATAGTGTCTGACACTGGAAAAAAGTCCTTACAGCTGGAAGGTGACAATGAAACTTTTTTTCCATTGACTCATTTGGATTCAGCTGGTTCCTTGATTTAGTGAGCTTCATTTGCACTGGAAAATTCTATGTGTTCAATTGTCATAGCTGAATTCTTCATATTCCTGTGTATATACACCTACAATGGATCAAAATGCTTTTTACTTCTCTGAAAATTCACCAATGGTGCAATCTGGGGGTTTTTGGTTTTTTTTTTTTTGCTTTGTTTTTTACCTGGACCTGTAGCAACATTTCCTAAAGAGATTATTATTCTCTTATCTCAGTTCACATTTGGTCTTTGAGGAATTTCTTTTGTAATGACACAAGATGATTTTTGAGCTCCCAACATGCTTTTAAGGTCAGTAGGGAATTCCTCAAAAGTGATATTAGAAGTTTGATTTACATGTCAACTCTCATGTTGAGAATTGCAAACCTTTCTTTCCTGCTCAGGAGTGGAAATAAATCTATGTGTTGGCAAAGGTGCAGTTACTTACTGTTTAGTGAAAATTGTCATTTCCTGTACTAAAAGACAGTGTACAACTTGTCCTTTTCTGAGATTCCAGGAAGGGAAACTGTAGCTTATATGATGATAAACTGGCATTGCAGAAAACAAAATGTATTTTGTCAGGCTAGACATCCATGTCTACAAAAATAATTGAAAGGATTTTTAGCGTGTTGTGGTTGTTAAACAATTTTGAACACCAGTAAGGGTCTGGTGGATCTTACATAAGCAGTGATGCATTCCATGAGACAGTTTGAGGAGGGGTGTGAAGCATCCTGAGACTTGTAACAGCTAGCTTGAAAAGAGGTCTGTAGATTTTTCTCTGTACAAGTATTGCTGCCTAATAATCTTTTGAAGGAGGAATTGGATTAGGAACATTTGAGTTTATCACTTCCTGTTGGGTACTTTGCTGATGAAGTCTTGCATGGCTGTCTCCACCCATTCTTAGTATTTTTACTTCCAGAAATTCATAGATAGCGTGGCAACAGACAATGTTATCTAAAAGAAAGTTCTTGATCTTAAAGTTAGGTTGAATTATGTATTTTATGTCATGTTATGCAAATGAAATTGCTCTTCTCTATCTAGCCTATTTTTCAAGTAGTGTAGTGTATATCTGTTGGCTGTTTGGTTAGTCATACCTACGTTGCAAAACTTTTACATTTTCTTCTAAACTCCAAATCACCACACAAAATACAGGACATTGTGTAACATACTAATTTCAGCACTCCTGTTTTTAGTTTATGAAGGGTTGGGAGTTTCAGTAGAATCTTTTAGTTCTCAAGAGAGCACAGTGAGCCAGAGCTTTGGTGTACTTGGTCAGAGTAGTATTTGGCAGGCACAAAATCTCTGCAGTTGCATCTTGATTAGCTGCTTCATCTAACTGTAGAATGTATGAGGTGTGTCAGTCTTTGTTCCTCTGGAACTGTCAAGGAATGTCAAAGTTGTTTAAAAGTCACTGTCACCGAAGCAGATACCTGCTACTTAGTCTTCAGAGTAGATACTGTTAACATCAATGTCACTTGGAGGGTTTTGGTTTGCTTTTTCTCTGCCTCAGGGTCCATTGTAAAAGCTCCCAGCACTCTGGCAAGAAGCAGTAGCTTGTGTAGATCAAGACGCAGTGTTGTGCCATCATCTCCACAGTCTCAGCACGCTCTGCACTCCCCTGACCCTGACATCCTCTCTGTGTCGAGCTGCCCAGCTCTCTATCGAACTGAAGAGGAGGAGGAAGCCATTTACTTCTCTGCTGATAAACAATGGTACGGAGATTAGCAAACAGCACTTGCAACTCTTGGTAGGATTATTGAGACTAACAGTTTAGAATTAGAGGTTAAACCAAGCCAAAAGTTAAAGTAATCTGTAGGATAATATAAATTAATATAGTCTACATGGAGCAGAGAGTTCTTGTCTGGTATGTGTATGTAAATAGCTAGCATGTCATGTACAGTTAAGTAATGTTACAATCCAGGGTGCACTGAACTAACCCTGATTCTCCATTACAATATGTTACTGGCTCTTACATCTGAAACTAGGATCAAAAGCAATGTCAGCTACTGGGCGAAGAGGAGATGGATGGTAACACAATTCTTACAGCATGTTGAGCGTGTACCTACTCTTGTTACATGGCCTCATAGGAAAAGGTTAAATTCCTTTTGGAAGGAGCAAATGAGCTTGTTGAAAGGTAGGGACACTTGTCCTGAAGAAACTTTTTTTATATGATAGGCTTAAATCTCCTTCTTTCATTTCATAACTTTTCCGACTTCACGTGCCAGAAAGATAGACTTTGTTCTTTGAAGTGAAATACAAATGATGACTATTTCTGGGCAGATGCTGCTGCCTACAAAAGCAAGATTGCACAAACTAATTCCCTTAAGTTTACATAATAAAATGATGTAATGCAAGTTGTAACTTAAAATGTTTAACTTAATTTTTTTTTTGTTTAATTAACTACTAAGGAAAACTGTGGGTGGTGCTTTTAGACTAATGTTATTGATTCTAAATTAATTTCCTTTTTAACTCTATGAAGGAAATTGTAGTTTCATTATGTTTTCTCTTCTCTCTGCTCTGACTCAGGGAAGTACAGGAAACAGGTTCGGAATGTGACTCCTTAAATTCATCCATTGGAAGAAAACAGTCTCCTCCAGCAAGTCTTGAGATGTACCAGACAATTTCTCCTCAGAAAGTATCACCAGAAGAATTCTCACTTGAGGAATCATCTACAGGAGACTCCTCCTCTCTGACTGCAGATGTTTCTAGGGGCTCTCCTGACTGTGTAGGCATGGCAGAAACTAAGAGCATGATCTTTAGTCCTGCAAGCAAAGTTTATAATGGAATCCTGGAGAAGTCTTGCAGCATGAACCAGCTTTCAACTGGGATCCCAGTCCCAAAGCCTCGTCACACCTCGTGTTCCTCGACCGGCAGTGATAGCAAACCCAGCCATGAAGCTGCTTCTGTCCCCAGGATAAGCAGCATCCCACAGGACCTCTACCAGAATGGTGAAAAAAATAAAAAGCCATCAAAAATAAAAAACCTCTTTAAGAAGAAGTGTAAGTGAGGTGGGCAGAAGAAAACCTATAGTAATATTATAAGAACTCTATTTTTTAAATCTTTAGGAATGTAATTCCTTTTGAGCATCCCAGAGTGGATGCCCTAATGGAATACTCTGTAGGTCACCTATATTTAATGACTGTACTGTCAACGGTTGTGCCAGCTGTCAATGAGAAATCATTAAAACGTTCAGACAGTTTACATTAATTTCTGGCTATTTATTTCTTTATTTTTTTAGGTTGTCTTTTTCAGCTTTTTTTTTTTTTTAATTTGATTTGTTGGGCTTTTTTAAGTTTATTCATAAACCATTTTTAAGCCACTTTGGACTCCTAAGCTTTAATGGACTAGTAAGCCTTCCTGGGCTTGCCAAAGTTTCTTGTTTACTGGAGCATCTTCCTATCTTTCCATAGAAATAGGACATTTATCTACTGGACTTAAAGAAAAATAAAAGAAGTAGAACTAAATGAATTGCACTACTGTTTTACAGACTGGAACAGTCTCTGCAAGTGAAACTGAAAGACTTGTATTTGACTGAGAAGATGAATCTTTTCACTTTTAGATCTTTTGGGGTTTTTAAGTAAAATTTAGCATTTCTAATTGACTTGATTTCTGGAAATGGAAATGTCATGCTTTTATTATGGGAAGCTTTGTTAGATGCATTTATTATTAGAATGGTTCAAGTCCTGCTGTAAAGATCATTTTTTTCCCAGGACTTTCACTGTGATTTTAATTCACTGCAGGCCGTATGAGAAACAAACAAAAAGAAAAAAAGAAAAGACAAAAAAAAGAAAAAAGTAAATTACCAAGAGAACAGGCTCTTGATTCCTTATGCAAGATGGTTGTGAAACTTGACTGAAGACTGAAAAAATTCACCTCTCAAAATGAGGAGAGGGGGAATAGTAGCTTTTGTTTACAGATTGACAGACAATGGACACTTGGGTTGTGAAAGTTTGTACTGTGGTAAAGATAATAAATTGGAAACATTATTGTGCTTGGGAATGTTCCAATTCTAGCTGATGCTTGTTTCAGACATGTTTCAGAGGTCCTGTTAATTGGAAGCTGTTGTAGGCTACATTGCTTATGCTTACTGCTGTGTATAAGTTATTATATTTTTTGAATTAGCTATTATTGTCTTAATGTCCTCCTTTTGTAAGATTTCATACACTTTATTTTTGTATAGTTTGAAGATTTAGCTGTTCAGAGATGTCTGAAGTAAATGGTATAATTTTATAATGCATACTGTTATACTAACTCATAATTTTAGATATAAAGATAGATATAAAGGTGAGATGACATGCTTCAGATAAAAGAAATTTTTGTGAAGCTTTTTTAGGGAGAGGTGAAATTACTGTGAGATAACAAGGAAGCCTTCTTAGGGTAGCAGTAGCTAGGTGTTCAAAACCATTTTTTTTTTTTTTAAACAGTTGGAGACAAGAAATATATGGCTTAAGCAACAGTGCCTTTTATTCAGTTTAAAAATATTAATACTGAGCAGGAATTTCTTCTGAGGTACATTCCAAGGAAATATCTCCTGCTCTAGTCAACAGAAGCAATTTACCCAGTGATGACTCAACAGTCTCAGATCTTCCATAAGGGTGTTCTCATTGCCTCAGTAGCAGGTGCCACTGCCAGGGGCTTGTGACTGGGGGCTCACTTCTTGCCAATATGTATGTGATGTACTGTGTGAAAGAATTATTTCACGGACTGCCTACATTTTTTTTTAGTAAGGAGCCTTCAAAGCCTGTAGTTAATTGAAATCAAATGATATGTGTCTTTTCTATCATTTTCTGTTTAGGTTTCACTGTACATACCCAATGTGTTAGTTCACTCCCCAAGGGTGGCAGTGTTTTTAACAGATTTACTGTGATTAGTGACATGGTTGAAAGAGAAGGGTTATAAAATGGGGTGGAGACCTTGCATGTGCAAGTACTTTACATGTCCTGGTACATTGGTTAATTCCTTAAGAGAACAGAAATAATCCAGAGTTTTGTTGTCTAACAGAATCTGATTGTAGGCCATCTATGCAGAAAATCATGGGACAAATCAATTATTTGATAAAGTTTGGCGAAGAAAAAATTAGTGGAATAGAAAAAAATGAGAACATAATATTGTTCCATTAATCTCTGAATCATCAGATTGACCAGCTGTAGCTTCAAAATAAAGCAATTGCAAGGTAGCAGTGGTCTCTTTGAAGAAAGATTCACTCTGTACATGGCAGACAACAAAAAGCAGCGATGAAAAAAGACTTGTGCTGAAGAACCACCTCAATGCTGAGCCTTCAAGAACTGTAGCTTAAAGCCTGATGAAGTACTTGAACATCTACAAAGGGAACAATTACTTTTATGCAAGTAGGGAACTTCCTGTGCCTCCCAAACAACATGGAGAAGACTACTACCAGAAAAACCTTGGTGCACTTGAGAAGGCCATAGCAATAATTGAGTTTAAAATAAGATCTGGGGCTGGATAGTAGATCTTGGTGTGAGGTTTGAGTAACTCTGTCTCTATCATTACCAAAAAAGATGAAGTGTCATTTTCGTACTGGAGAGTAAACATTTACACATGGAGAAAAAGTTGGTACTGAGTAGTGGAAGGGCAGCACTTCTTAATTCTGATATCAAAATTGGGCAAACTCAAATATTGAGAAGCCAGAACAGACAAATTCAGTTTTCTGTAGTAAGTATAACTAAAAGTGAAATAGTGGAGGTATTGAGCTCTTTATTGGCTGAGAGTTAAAGTGCTAAGATTGTTTTTAAAAAAACAATTTAACTATTTTCTGGTAAAAATACTTCTTTGTACTGTGCAAACAAATCAGATAAGATGATCATAGTGGTAGATTTTGGATTCAAAATGGCAAACCTCTGGAGCACAGAGAACTCTCAACACTCAGTGTATCACCAGCTGTCCTGTAACTTTATAGCTGCTTCTTAATAAGTGTTAGAGAACAAAAAGCTTAAATTAATACAATCAGAAGTGGTGAGTATTATATGTTGGCGGACAAACAAATTCTACGTTAATTGAGTTTATTTTTTATTATTTTAATAGCCACTTGCATTTCTTGCCGTTTAAATTTGTCCACAATGTAAGTGGCCTCCATGGCTCCTCCTGCAGAATTCCCCATCTTTAAATGGTTTGAGTCATGTTGTTGAGGGATGCTGAGAGCACTGGCTCTGAGGAAGATCTTCACTGGCGGTCATCAAATCCAGTCTTAGCATTGAAGTACCTGGCACACATCTGTTATGAAATAACAGAAAACTGAATTTTGCTTATAACACATCCACATCTAAGAAGTGAGACAATGTGCCTCAGAAGGTTCTCTGTTCCATTTGCTACCAGTGTAACTTGAAACTGGCTGGCAGTCAGTGAGTCCAGCCAGCATTCCAACCACTAGGATTCATAGGGCACATCAGTCACTTGAGACAGTCAGTTAGTGTCATTAGAGATTGGTTTGTGGGGTTTTGTTTTGTTTGTTTGTTTGGGTGGTTTTTTTTGCTTTTTTAGCTAAAATCCATGTTCTGGTTTTAATTATCTGGTATTTCAGAAGATGAGACTCTTTGCTATTTAAATATTTTGTTAGAGTACTTTGTCAGGACAGCAGCTTCTTTGTGGAAATTGCCTAAAAGACTTCTCCCTGTTTAAGGTTGCTGTTTAAGTCACTTGTAAAATGAAGAAGTGTCAAATATAAAGTTCTATATAAAGAAGAAAAAAAAATCCCAGTTCTTCCAAAACTAAACAAATGCAAACCTTTCTACAATTCTTACTAAAGCTACATGACACTTGATTAGCATAAAAGCTTTGGGGAAGGCATTTTGGTTACCATGGGGAATCCTTTTTACCATCTCATAGTGGATTTAGAGATTAAACCAGCTGATTGCATTTGCATTTTTTGGTTTTTCATTTTAGTTGGTTCCCCTCCATCCCTCATCCCCACAGCTCAGTGATGGAACTTAAAATTGTTAATTGGCAGTTCCAGGCATATGTCAACTTTTCTTCCCCCACTGGTACCTAGGTAGTGGATTACCCTCTACTTCCTGAAGGGCAGTTTGCTGAAAGAGGAAAAATTCTCAATGGTCATCCAAGTAGTAATGTTATAGTAAGAATGTGGTTCCTTGTTTGGAAGCCTAGAAGATGGTGAAGCCAAGAATACTTGATTTCTGTTTTCTCACAATATTTATGGATGCCAGCTGCAGTTAGGCAGTAATTTACAACTGATTAAAAGCCTAAAAAGATAAAGCTAATTAGAAATTAAAACTTTCAAGATTTTGCCCTTTTACTTCCCAATATATGGGAACATGGCTTGCACAGGAGGGAGATGAGCTGATTAGTATTTCTTGTATGACCAGCTTTTAGAGTTTCAGGATAGTTTCATTCAGTTTCCATGATAAATTGCTGGAGAGGGATTGCTGCCTTACTTTCATAAGTATGCAATGAATTAGGTTTTTTTTCTATTCAATTACAAGCATATTTTTGAGCAGTGGAGAATGTAAATTTTTTTTTTTAAAGCCAAATACAGGAATTACTAATTCTTGGACCTCTTGTCTACTTGCTTATCTCCTTGTGCAATGTATTAAGTTGGATGAACACATTTTTCTAATCTGTTCCAGTTGCTCTTACTATAGGGGTGTGTTACTTTGTCATGCTTGAATCACTGCTCCAAATTGCTTGTAGGCATTTTAACCTGGATGCTGCATCTTCAGTGATTCATGGTGAAGCCCACCATGCCTGGTTGAGTCTAAGTGCTGCTAACATTTTCTGCTAGTGACACAGATGTTGGGATAACTAATAACCAAAAATTGCCTGCAGAGTTTGGCTGCCTGACAGCGTGTAGACGTTTAGGTGACCATTCTTTCATTAGCAGTTCAAATGTGTCATTCAGGTATTCAACAGATAGTTTTTGCTTCCAGACCAGTACAGATGGTGTTTTTCTGACTCTCCACTTAGTCTTCTGTTACATAAACAGAATGCACCAATTCATAAAAGTGGTAACAATATCAAATGTTAAACTATTATTCCTGGGTGCTCTTGCATCTGGCATTGCTGAAGCAGATGTCAGTACTTACCAATCTACTTCAGGCATTCAGAAATAAAGTAGATTTGTGTTATCTTTTGTTTTGCTTTCCAGCTTTAAATCTCAAATTTTCCAAATTCTGTGTGTGTGTTCTGTGTATTTAATGCTTTGCTGAAATGAAAGTGGGAAGGTCGAT